GGACGATAGCAAAGTATATGCAAATCATGCCAAAAAGAAGTTTATTGATTTAGATGACGTCAGACTGGCAGTCAAGATGCAGTTAGAGCGTTCATTCACAAATCCACCACCCAGAGATGTTCTATTGGATGTGGCACGAACCAAGAATAATATTCCGCTGCCTTTTGTCAAACCAAATAATGGCCTCAGATTACCACCAGATCGATATTGCTTAAATGCACCGAATTATAGACTTAAAAATGCAACAAAGAAGGCTCTTCAAAAATCAGGACACTCTTTGGTTGGCAATAATCAATCCGGTGGACAGCCAAGATCGAAAATAGAGGGAAATAAGACTAGTATGTCGATTGTTAAAAGACCTGGAACACTTGCCACTGTTGCAAGAACACAAACTATTTCTATACCGAAACCTGTTTTGAAATTTTCCACAGGTAACTGCTTCTTGATCTGGTAACTGATCTATTCATAATTAGGTTAATTTCTTATTAATACATGTAATTACTTTATTATATTGCTTTAATATAAAATATGTCCTTTTTCTATTTTCAATGTCAGCTTCGTTTTGCCTACTGCAGTCCCATTACTCCACACCATTCCGTATTTCCTTTAAAACTCCAGCAAGTAAGATTTTAATATAAAAAAGTACTGAAACAGCTGCATTTGGTATTACTAGAATTTGTATAACATTTACAAATATAAAAGAATTTAATTTTGTAACATTTAAAAAGTTACATATTTAAAATTCCTGTTTATTTACCAGTACTATTTTAAATCAAATTGTGACATCAGGAGTGAGAAAATACAAAAATTCAAATATAAAATTATATTTGAAAAAAAAAAATATTCTTTTAATAAATTAATACAACAGTTCCACACAATCGATAGAATAGAATAGACTCTAGACTAGAGTAGAATGTACCAAAATTTATTTTTTTATTTGAGAAGAAATTAAATTATATTTATTTCTGTATATTATTAATTTTATAATTTGTCACAGTAAAAAGAACTCGTTTCATTTTGATTGCATAATTCATTTCTAGATGTATAGTTATTTATTAATTAATGAAATATAAGAAAAGTTTCAGTATATTTTTTAAATTCTAACATGTGTTTTCTGACATCATAATCTTAGATGATAGTAGTGAGTCAACAAAGAAGCTTTAAAATTAGATTTAGTTGAAAATTTTTTAATTAAATCTCATAATATCTATGTTAATACGAATATTTTTGTAGCGGCAACAAGTAGTACAACGGTAAAAACACAAGTAACGAAACCGAAGATACAGATTACTTCCAATCAAACATTGCCGACTGCGAAAATGGAAACCGACGAATCATTGAAAAGAAAACGAGAGGAAGAGGATTACGATATGCCATAATTTTAAGTTCTGAATACTATTCTGTTTAATTATTAATATTCTCTAACACTCTGTAATAATTCTATAATCCGTTTTTTGTTAAAATAATACAAAAGAATATACAAAGTCTAATAAAATATAAGATTGTATAAAACACACGCATTTATTTGAAACTATTTTACAGGTTCATTATTTGAAATTATATTTTATTTATTCCTCAGCTTCACGTTCATTTTCTTCATTTTCATCTTCTTCATCCTCATCTTCCAATATATCTTCTTTTTCTTCTTCTTCGACCTCATATTCACGAGTAGCAGCCACAGGTTCGACTTCTTCCTCTTCGGCAACCACAGTTTCTTCAACTTTAATTTCCTCTTCTTCCTTTTCTACTTCCTCTTCTGCTTCTTCTGTTTCTTCTACTACTTCTGCTTCTTCTTCTGCTTCTTCTGCTTCTTCTTCTGCTTCTTCTTCTGCTTCTTCTGCTTCTTCTCCTGCTTCTTCTGCTCCTTCTTCTTTTTCTTCTTCATCTTTCTTTATAATTATTTCTTCTACTTCTTCCGCACGCACATCTGGTATCGCTTTCTCGATTAAATCAGGTTCCTTCGTAACTGGCAGCTCAAGTATCTCCTCCACTTTCGGCTCGATAATTGGTTCGACGGACGGCACTTTCTCAAGTATTAGAGTAGGTTTTTTCAGCACGTCTTCCTCTCTAACGCATTTCTTTCGATGCATCGGCAAGAAGAGCTTAAACTCTTCTGGCAGTTCGTCCTCTGAATAAAGCCTTAAAAATTGCTTTTGCTTAACATTTAATTTGAAACTACTTTAATATTTAATAAATTATTTTACCCTGACCTATCATAATATCAAGAAATTAATGAAATTTCTGATATCTATTAATAAAGCTTACGTTAAATAAATAAAATAACATATTTTATCAATGATAATACAACATTTAAAGAATTGATTAGAGAATTAATTGATACATGTATTAAATCCTTGCCTATCGGCGAAATAAACTCGTCTGATTCTGCAGTTGGCATGAATTTGCATTCTAGTGGTTTCAATGTAATTTGTACCATAGGCTCGTCGTGTAAAATCAGACAAATTGAATTGAATCTGATTCCATCCACCTGAAAGTCCGATGGGCATGGATGTGGAAAACGGGCGAATGCGTGTCGTACTCTGAAAATTGCTCACACGGAATCTTCTATGCATATTCTTGTCGTCCAATATCTATTTAACAAATTATTAATTAATTTTTTCAGATTGCAATATGTCGCAAATCTACCAAAAAAAAATGAAATATATTATATATAATATATGTATTATGAGAAAAGGAACTCGAAAAGAAAAAGAAATAGAAAGTTTTATTCAAAAAGAAAAATTATATAAAAGGTTTATTTAAATAATAAAAATTAGAAGTTTTATTTAAGACACATCATCTTTTATTTACGAAAAAAAATAAAATTTTATATTTATTAAAGATGAGCAATAAGTATCTGTATATCGAAAGAATTGAATAAAAAAAGTCTTGTTTAAAGAAACTTAGAAGCCTTATTTTTTAAGTACGCATTCAAATGGACTTTACTGTTATCTCGAACGTGAAATACTTCTTCATATTCTTGATAATGATGATAAGAAAGGGTAGCTTTATACCCAGCTCCTTCTTTGGAAACGCTGGACAGTAAATATAAGTTGTAGCCACATTGGTCCCGGCTATTTCCAATGCCAATGACTTTATCTCTTCATCTGTAATTCTGCGTATATATCCGTTTTTTACCTGAATAAATGTGAATGGTGCAATACAATAATTTTAAATATACATGTACTTTTTAAATATATATTTATATATTTATTATTTTATATATATACTTTTTTCTTATTATTAGAAATATAAAAATATTAATTTTTTAAATTAAATTTACAAGTAGACTGTGGAAATTACGAGATTATGAAACTATGAATCTTGATATTCTTTTTAATGTGATAAAAACTAACGTGCATGTCCCATAACTCCAGAGGGGACGACCCGCAACTATACAAAATGGATAAAAATCCGCCCTGATAAGTATTTCGAAACATTTATTTATAAAAATATTTGCTTAGCTGTTTACAGTTTGACAAATATCAAATTAAATTCTTTCCTTTGTTTTTCGAGTTTCCACATTAATTGCCAACGTCCTGTCTCTTTGGGACAAAATTATATTATTAAAAACGCATTTAAAGTAATGGAAAGTATCGGAGTTGTTGAATTGCGAGTTTGAATATAGCCTAAAAATGCCAAATTTCAAAAGAGTAATATAATCTCCAGTAAAGCAGAAACCAATATTGCAGGGCTTACAATCAGAGTTTGAAAGTCAATTTGGAAATTAATACTAACTATTTGTTCATTATTGATGAACTTCAAATAAAAAGAAAAACTAGATATTTGATGTTATTTCTCAATTAAAAAAGGATCCCGCATAAAGCTTATAAAAATTGAATTTCGATCGAATTAATATATTGTTATAGGCCCCCCATGGCTAAAAATTTGATGTATTGTAGATCTTGTCGTCCTAATAAAGTCTTCACAGGCACCCCAAATAATACAAAGTTTAAAATTATGACATAAGACGTTTATAAGTCGCAAAGAATGTCTTATGACTAGACACTTTTTGTTATCTAAGACGACTCGCTATAATGAATTATTTGACTTCTACGAGACGTTTTATTTTTCAGAACGGGTTAAAATTATAAGAATAATATTGACTTGATTGTTTCCCACAAATCGGAGATCTTATTGACAATCTATGAGGCGAGTCCTCTCGCCTATTACAAATTGGAGTGCTTTATTGTGAGTCTCCTTATAACTTTTTTTTATTAATTATGCAGGATAGGGGATTACCCTATAATTACCTTAACCTTGTCATACGTTGTTGACAAGATAAAGAACGCCAACATGATCAAAGTTAGATGTTTTGAATAATACAATATATATTCTTTATTAAATCAATTTATTTCAGATATGATTGCGCGCTGATAATTTTCCGAACTTTCAATACAATCAGTCTGAAACGCTAATCTCCCTAAAATTAAAAAACTATAAAGATTTTCTCTTTTTACTTAAAAATATACATAATAAGTGCAAATCATGACGTAGAAATGCACCGTATTCGCTGAAAATATTGAGTAATAGCCCATTTTTTAAAATGGCACCTCGTAGAGGTGTCAAATGATTCATTAAAGAAGATCGTGCCTGTGGAAAAATTTAATTTCCATAAGGTTTGTGCGGAGTTCTTCCTAAAATCGAGTTTTACGATAAATTTTTTTAAATTTTGTTTTTAAATCTATTATTTTGAATTTTTTATTTTTGACTTTAAATTCGAATAAAGCATCATCGAATTACCCCATAGACCAAGATTTTTATAAAAATCAAGCGAGCAGTTTACAAAATAAAAGGAGGTAACTCCAAATGGAGTCATCGTAGTACGCAAAGAATAAATATGTGTTTTGTTATAATTATAATATAAAACATTTCTAATAACATTTCTAGATTAAAAACGCAAAACTATATATATATATATATATATATATATATATATACAGGGTATCTGATAATTGTTCTGACAGAGTTCGTGGCTATGTAGAGCTGACTAAACTGAGATGGAAAGTCCTTTACAATTTTCTCAATAGTTAACAAGATATTAATTGCTAAAAATTTCCGAAAATTGGTCTTCAATAATTTTTTATTATTCAAATACTATCAACTTTACAGAAAAATTGCAAGAGACAAAAATAAATTGTTTATTTTCTTTTCATATATATATATATATAAGCTCTACATCTCTACTAACTCTATCAGAACAATTATCAGACATCCTGTATATATCAGTAATAATTACAAAAGTAATTAGAAATTTATTAATATATATAATTACAATTAGAGGTAATTAAACAGATCGACATTAATTACGAAATTAATAGCAGAGATGATTGAATAATAATTAAGGGAAATAATCTATTCCCATTGAAATTATCCGAAGGATTTCTTAATCTTCGATAAGCTCGTTCAGTCGGCGTCTCTCTTTCTCTGTTAAAAGGTCTGGCACGATTAACATCTTCGGCGACATGCCAATGCTGAAGACGCGATCGATTCTCACACCATCCAGAGCAAGCGTTTGGGCCATAGCAAAATGCGCGATCTCACGATTCAGCTGCCGAAATGATTGTCGCTGAATCCTTTGCACGCGTTGCCTGCAGACTACATGACTTAAAAAAAATACAATTAATTGTAATTAATTCTGAACTATATCATAAACAATATAAAATTATACAAGTTTTATAAAAAGCTAGTGACCTTTAAAGTCTCGGTGTAAACTTTTTCAGAACGTCTCATTTAATCCCTACATTACTCGTGCGGTTTTTTTAACTCACGTGGAGTGTATCTGATACTTTAACATTATATATCTCTATTTTTATTGTTCTCTTTGATAATTTACAATTAAATAAAGATTAATAATCTATATCTTTTGGATAAAAATAAATGCAAACATTTTTTTAATTGTGAAACAATTTACGTTAAATATCATAATATATGTGTATAAATAATATTCACGCACGTTTAGCAAATTTATAAAATGGAGATATACTGGATATATACATTCCATACAAATAATGAAGAGTTAACAAAATTAATGCTTTATAACAGAGACAACAAACTTTGATATAAAAAAATTTGATTCTCTTTTATTTATATCTAATTTATTTCCGTTAATTGATCGATTGAGAATTAATTCTTACTAAGGATAGATTTTCAAGCCTGTATAGCTGGGATGAATTGAAACATCGCTTCGATATAATTCCGGAAATTGCTTCATATGCTTCGTGCGGTACTTGCGAAACACAGGTTTCTCTTCCGCCACTTTTGAAGAATTCTTAAGCTCTCCAGAAATTTTCAAGTTGTCCAACAACGAGTCATCTTTTTTATCCATTTTCAAAAATTGACGTTAACTTTCTGCCACTTTTTAGAACAATTCAAAATTCAATCTCAGTTCTATTAGGTGAATAAAAAATATTTTCAAGCACTTTTTAGACTGAAAAATTTCTCCAGATTAATTTGATTTGCATTACATTTATTTGTCAGTAAACTAAGCTTTATTGATCTAACAAACGCAATGTTCCGTAATGCCATATTTTTTCTTTGCACTTTCTTCACTCGTAGAAGACTCTACAGAATAACAATCTTTTTGAAATCGTAATCGTTTTTTCAGCGAAAATAATGATTTTCGAGACCGGAGAATTTAGCAGATATGACAAACGGACGACGAACTCAACGAACGATTCGAGGAAAATTGGCCGATTCGTAACGAAGTGAGTGCCTGTACCTCGTACGGATATCGATTTGGTTTCTAGGCGAATCAATAGATTCGGCTTATTCTTATTCCGAGTAGCCGACGATGCGCTCACGGAGCACTGAACTCTTTAGAACAATAAAAACGAGAGCGACTTGTAAAAAATACCAATCTGATGATAGAAAATAATCCTCCGCCGAATGCCATTATCGATCGCTAAATCTAACGATTGAGAATCCATATTTTTATTATTAAAGTCGAAGAAAAATGCAGAAATTGGACCAATAATAAAAAATGGACAATAAGAATTCAAATTTTATATTATTAAAAAATATACACGGATATAAAAAATACACACACATATATATATAGATCTAATTCTATGAATTTTGAGATAAAAATTCTGAAAAAAAAAAAAGTATGAATTTAAACAAATTTAACAATTGAGGATTAATTTGACAAAGCACTATAATTTAAACGAAAAAAATTGATAAACGTGAAATTGTAGTTTCAAATTTCAGAAATAGTCCGATGAAAAATGTATCTCTTATCAGTTAAGATCTTTGCATTCTCAATGGTCCTTTTAGTGAATGCTCTTCGTGTCTTGAGCCAATTTTATCAGGAGGGTTGCACGCGATGAGGGCAGCATTGTGGTCTTGATCGTCTCGACAGTGCATACGTATGAGGTACGCGTTAATTAAATTCATCCCGTACTTTCCACACAGGCCGCTTGATTGCGTGATGTTATAATCTTTCTCAATCGTGAGTGTTTAACGTGTTCGTTCACATTGTTGAAATTTTGCCCTTCCACCTCCGCATTTATTGATTTTTGTGTATATGTATATACAGCTATAGTTAAATATTGATACAGTCCTCGGCATTACCTATTAATTAAATTAATTAAAATTGAATGAGTTATGATATTAGAATAAAATCGCAAAAAAATTGTTTGCTCCTCATTCAAGACAATTTCTTATTTAGTTTAAAATATGATATATCTCTTTTATTTAAAGAAATATTTTATTAATAATTAACTTCCCTTATGATTCCTTAATTAAAAAGTTAAAGACAGTTTTTATTTATTTTATTATTTAATTTTTGTATTATTTCTAAATTATTAAAACGCGCAAGGAGAATTGAATTATCAGTTTATCGTTTTATTTGGAGAAAAAAATTGGAAGATTATATTTAAAAAATTGAAAATAAATTATATACATTTAAACTTTATTGACGGTCAAGGCATTAATTATTTTGAGGAAGTCGAGATCTTTTGCAAATTTAATCTGACTGATCGTTCCTTCTGAGGAACGAATCAGTCGGTCGTTCCAACGGAAATCCTCGAGTGCTCAACGGTCATGCTCGGATTTATTGATATTTGCTCCAAAAGGAAAGGGGGAGCTCGTCGTCACGCCCCCGAGCTCAACAGTCTTCAAGATATACAGCTGATCGTGAGACGAAGCTGAAATAACCGCGTCGTACTTTTTCCGGTCTCGACGATTTTTTTCCAAAATTCCCAACAGCCATGACCGAGTGACAGCGAGTGCGGGATCGCAAGAATCCTCCGCGAGTATCACTATCTGCGGCTTCCAAGTTAATCGGAATAACTGTCGGGATGTCGAGATAGCGAGACAAAGCTTTTTCTCTCTGGAGAACCGGACGGTCCATTTAGATACCGCGTTCCCTTATCCCCTTTTTCTTGTTCCGCCGCGGAAGATCGAAAGGCCCTCGAGTTTGTGAACATCCCAAAAATTCACCGACACTATTCACGACGCTAAATATCGAACTATGTGGAATATCTCTCTGACGAATAAAAATAGATTTTTCCGAAGAATTTAATTTAAATATTTTAGATTGTATATTTTTTCAAAGAAATTTAAATACACCAAACTCTTTCTGATAATTCGAAACCCGGCTGACTCTAATTTCTAAGTAATTCCACTGTCAAATTTAGAGAATTTCGAATTAGAATCTAAAAATTGATATCTTCAAATATTTAACATCTAACTGATAAATTTTGTATAAAACTTTGATTTTCTGACTGAACATCGGAGATTGTAAATATCTGTGAAGATCTAAAATCCTGCGCCACGATTCCGTTAAGTTACCAATTATCTGTTTAAGAATTTTGAAGAACTTCGACGCGATTTGTGAAATTTCTGTCAAATTTCTCAGTGAGGAAAAATGTCGAATGACTTGAATTTTTACATCCAGTAATAAATTATAAAGCTTCATAATCACTGGTCAATGTTTGTGAAAATCGAAGTATCGACCCGCAAGAACGACAGATTGAAAGCTCCTGCCATCGTCGGGACGCTCAATAACCAGGACAGTGTTTTACAATGGCCAACGAAAGGATATCAGGTCGTTACAGGTTGGCAATAAATTCCGACATGTTTAAATTTACGAATCTATAAATATTGCTCGAAACCTCGAATTTTCGAAACCTCGAATTGAAAACTGCAAATATTCGAAGATGTAGAGATATGAGAATTCCCTAGTTATCGTTTTTTTTTTTAAATTTATATAAGAAAACTACTACATCATCTTTAATCCTCGGGAATAGTCATCCTTTTATATATCAATTTTTACGTATTCCAATAAAAAAATGTTCCAATAAAAGAATTTTCGTAAAATGAACATTGTTTCCTCTTCTAGTCATATTGTTTTTCTTTTTTAATAACTATTCTTTAAGGTTATTTAAAAATACAATTTTATTGAAAATCCGCAATAAAAAGACGTTATATTAATTAAAATCTTTATTGTTTTTTTAACATTATTATCATAATAAACTACTTAACGTGTTTACTCCATTTAATATTTGTTTGTACTTATTTTTTTCAGAAAATTGTGAATAATATCCATAATCGTGTAATGTTCGTATAATTCAAATGCCAATAAAACAGAAAACAATTAATAATATGCAAAGTGTTATTAATAATAGTGACAATTAGAGTGTGAAAAAGCATCCTAGATATTTATTTACGAAAAAAAAATCAGATTACATACTTGCTGAAAAAAATTTTTTGCTTATTTTTTATCAAAGCGCGTTTTGTTCTTTTCAAGAACATCGTTACCAGTTCCGGGTCATTCCGAAGTAAATCTGTGCTCAATGACGCTCCAGCTGGGCAAAGACATCAGCAAGACCAGCATGCCGGTCATCTTTAACGAGCCGCTTTCTTTCCTGCAACGCGTCGCGGAATATATGGAGTATGCCGTATTGCTCAAGCAGGCATCCCAGCAAGAGTCGTCAGTCTTGAGGCTTCAGGTGCGCGAGGAATCGCTTTGAAATTTAATCAGGATAATAAATCAATAACCCGCTACTATTAATAAAACGAAATTAATGATTACGCAGTACGTCGCAGCTTTCGCTGTGAGTGCCCTCGCTTCGAACTGGGAGCGCTTTGGAAAACCTTTCAATCCAATTTTGGGCGAGACATACGAGCTGCAACGCGAAGATTTCCGGTAACTAACTCGTTTTACAGATCGTACATTTATAATTCGTCAATTTAATTTCTAATTAAAATTGATTTGTTTAATATTATTTCACTGCCAATTTGCCGTCTCTTGCATATTGGAACTCATTTCTTCTTCGAATCTTCTTCAGGATAATATGCGAGCAGGTTTCGCATCATCCACCAGTGTCCGCGTTCTACGCCGACAGTGAGGATTTCATCTTTCATGGCAGCATCCATCCTAAATTGAAATTTTGGGGAAAATCACTGGAGGTACACCCGAAAGGAACTGTCACGGTCGAATTACCCAAGTAAGTTCAGTAATAAGTTATTCAGGTTTAATAATTATTATAATAAACTAATGTATGTAGTAGTTTGTGTTTACTTTATATAGTTAATAATTGTTACCTTTTCCCTTTTATCAAAATCCTCTGAATTTCGAAGGTATAAAAAACGTAAATAACTCGATCTCACGAAAAGATACATACTTCTAGATTTCGTCTCTATTTTCATAAATATATTAATTTTTTCGATAAAAAAATGCTGTGTATTATTAAAAATTAAAACAATATTAAGAGAATTTTACTGGAAACTTTGGGCTTTTTTCAAGAGATAGTCGATGTGTTAATGTGTTTGAATAGATGGAAGGAGTCCTACACTTGGCAAAACGTCAATTGCATCCTTCACAATGTCTTGGTAGGCCAATTATGGATGGAGCAGTCAGGCCCTTTGGAAATCAGACAGCACGGAGGGGATAATTTAAAAGCTAAGCTATGCTTTGTTAAAAGCACCTTGAATGGCAAGGATGTCCATCGCGTCGAGGGATTCATAACAAATCAAGAGTAAGTTTTAATTTAATTAATTAAATCAACGAGTGGTGTGCATAACAATATAAAATGGAAAGATTAATTTTAACCCTGGAATTGCACACGTGTTTACTTACATTTGTTATACGTTTTCTTTTTTCTTGCGTGGATAAGCAGGGTCGAATTAAGAGTTAATTTTTGTCACCCCCTCCCCCCCGCCCTTCAACTGAAGAATAACCACGTTGGCGAAACGACTATTAAAAAAAAGATCATCTGCAGGGATTGAGAAACCGTAAAGTTATTTTCTTTTACATAAAAATGAATTTTCAGTGCAAAAATGAAAATAAGAGAAACAATCTACAATATGTGACGTTGATCTCAACAAATATTATCCAGGATATGATTCTGAACAAGAGGTTTTAGTCGTTGGTCGAACACCTTGAGCAATGCTAATGCCGGCGGTATTGTAACTTTCATGCCATATAATTCGAAAAGTACTTCATGAAAAAAGATTTTATTATAGTGTTTTGGAAAGTTCTTGATACCAGAGCTATTAGATTTTGAAATAAAAAGTGGGATCTGCCACTTGAAAAAATTGATGTGATCTTGGCAACGTCATTTAAGATCAAACTGATAATCAGTAAATAGATCTTTTTGATGTCTAAAGCACTTTTCTATAAAACTTATATTTTTGAGATATTCAAATGTCTCGACCTTTTTTGAAACACCCTTATACCTTTTTTTGATCCAATGCGCATGTTGAAGTGAGTCGGAGCTATTATAAAATTTTTCTTAATTCTTCGCGTGGCAAAAATTATTGTTTTAAAACTTTTTTTCAAATGCCGCTCCCCTAAACTTGCTGCCTCTAGACTATAAGTCTAGATTAGGCTCCAGTGCTAATATGGCGGATAGGTACATATGTACGTACGTGATTCGCGACACGATAAGAGAAGCGCCGGTTGTAGGGGAGTAAAGAAAGTACATATACAATGATGCGAATGAAACTTTTTATTCCCATTTTATTATATCGTTTTTTTCATACGTATTAAAAACTAAAGCTTATAACTCGCAATTGACGAGCTGAGGCTTGTTAAATATGTCACTATCGCGTGCAGCGAATCTCGGACGCAATATTGGAGAAATCGCTTATATTTGACATCAACCGTATTGATGAATCGTTCGAACGTTACGGCGAAGTAGTCATGAAATTATATTGATATAATAAAAATATCATCATTTAACAGATATAATAAAGTATAAATAATTTACATTACTATGGCCCGGTTGCATCAATGTCTCGTTTTAAAATCGAAAAAGAGATCGAGGCAAAGAGAGTTTTAAGGCTTGCCAAAAATCAAAGTAACATTGACGCAATCGGACATTGGATAAGTGTCAGATAATCTAATCTCACTTGGCCGATGTCGCGCATTGTGATTAGCCTAATATTCGGGAAAGTTCGATTTGATTTGCGAGTGTTCACATTCGATCATTCATTTTACTTCTAATCAAAGAGAAATAAAAGAACATAGCTTTATTATTTAATTATTTTTACGTTACAACTTTTTTCGAACTTAGTCCGATTAAAACGAAAAATTTCCTACTTACAATTTTGAATAATTTAAGTAGCATTTATGATCCATTTTCAAATAAAAACTTTTTTTATTCAATTAGATTGAACAACTGCATTTCATATTCAGAATATTGAATTGAGCAATATTCACGTTGCGCAGAAATTGCTGATATTATTTTTGAATTTAACCGAATTAAAAAAAAACTGTGCTTTCTATTTACAATTCTGAATTGAGTATTCACAATGCACAGAAAATGCTGATATTATTTTTAGATTGAGAGGTATAGAGATATACTCTATGCAATTCCTATAAATAAATAAAAATGCATTCAGGATTGGAAAGGATTCATTTTAACATTCATGAATCTGTATTTCTGAAAATCTGAATCCATTTTAATCTATTTTAATCCATTTCAATTTCTCGTTTGCTGGGTTATTTTTGAAAAGAAACGTATGTACACGTTTCTTTTTAAGAATAGGGGGGGCCCTGGATATCGATTATGTAACTTTTTCTCCAGGAACGTGAAAAGTGAAAATTTTGATGTGTGTATGTATGTATGTATGAACGTATACATACAATAAATTTTCACTTTTCACGTTTCCGTTCTAGGGAGAAGTTACATGATCGATAGCATGCAATCTGGGATCACTCAATCACTGGTCATGACGTAAAGCTCGTATCAGAATCAGATTACAAACTATGCATGCCGACCCGACTGCCAACTCTGATTGCCGACTAATAAATAATGAACTAATCACGATAAGACTGTCAATTCAATGTGATGCCTTATGCTTTTGTAAATGCCGTGGACTTTACATTTAATTTGAGTTCGCTAAAAGTATATATAAGTTGACATTAATTCGTATGTACACGACCAAAGATGTAATAATTGTAAGAAACTTTGTCTATGTAACATAAATATTGTTATTTATAATATAAACATTATTATTTTGATAATTAATCCATTTTAATCTTATTTGTAACGTGCTAAAAAAAAGATTTGAAAAAGTGGAACCTGTTTTTTTTTTTTTTTTGGGGAACTAACTGCTTGGCGGTTGCTGGGTAAAGAATCGGAAGAATCGATTATTCTGAATATAGATCCTTTTTTTCATCCGATTAATCGATTGTTAAGAATTGAACTCTCTTAAACGAATGGATTGATTCTAAAAATTGATCTGTTTTTTTAATAATCGGCATCACTAGTAAACATCGATACATACGATAGTAAATGTCGATCAGGGACCTTTCTCGCAAGTAACTCCCCTCCCCCCCCCCTCCTCTTACTAATACTACTTTTGCATAATAAATTATATTCAACTTTAAATTGAAATAAAGCAAAGCTCTGATGAAAATAAAAATCGGAGCGTAATCGAATGTAACAGGAGAGTAACAGAAGCATAAACGAAACTTGGAATTATGAAATGTAAAAGAAGCATTTAAGCTTCTTTTACATTTTGATATTTCAATATTCGCCTTCATGACGTTTCGTTTACGCAAATGTTACTCTTCCGTTACATTTGACTTACACTCTGATTTTTATTTTCATCAGGGCAGTTTACATTATTATTATTAGCAGTTTACTATTGTTTCTTTATATTCTTTTAGAAAAAAAAAATTACTCTTCCTTTACGGTCAATGGACCGAAATTTTACGATCGTGCCAGCCCTCATTATACGAGGAAACGCTGGAGAAGATCAAATTAGAGGCCAAAAGCCCACAAGCCAGTCCAGGACATAAGAAAGTTTTGGCGAAGCTCCACAGTCTCAAAGTTGGAGCTTTCAAGCCCTTGCATCAGGTATAAAACTATTTAATTAGATTTCATTCAGGGAATTTAATTTATAGAAAAGTTAGTTGTTAATTAAGAAATGATTTTTTTAAATTTAAAAATAAATAAAAATGGTCTTGGATGCAAATTGAAAGTTTTTTTTTTGTAATTTTCAATTTTAATTAATTCAATTAATACATAAGGACATAGTCAAGCACTGCATTATTATAATTTAACATAGTTGTTAATATAAAACAATTTGCTGAACAAATTAATCCGTTTTTTCGCATTTATACAAAATGTACTCATTAAAACTCCTGTATATTTTTCTAATATAAAGGATGCAATAGAGGAACCCTTTGGCAATACAGTCGTTGACGACATTCCGATTGTGGACGAGATTCCAGGATCTGTCACTCTGTGGGAAGCTACACCAAGGCCCAGCAATAGTTCGGATGTTAGTTGAAATGACATTTGAATAAATTAATCGAATACGTCAATTAATTTAAATTTTTACAAAATTTTATTTAAATTCGGAAATACATGTTTTAACAACATAATTATTTATATGTTTTGTATAATGAATTATTTTATTGTAATATAATACTTCTTAAATTATTCTCTATTCCTACAACAGATTTCTACTAATGTGATAAAAATAATTTACTTCAAAGATGTATCGATTTATTTGACACGATGTATATTTTGTAGTATTATCAATTTACGACGTTCGCGATGTCACTGAACGAATTGGAATCTGATATGGGAGACATCCTATGTCCGACCGACTCTAGATTAAGACCGGATATTCGCAAGCTGGAGAATGGCGATCAGGATGGGGCTGCATCTGAAAAAGCTAGGCTGGAGGAGAAACAGAGGAATAGTCGCAAAGTGCGCAAGCAGAAGAAAGGAAACGAATACGCTCCCAGGTATAATTGCGCATTTTATTTTAGTATAGAAATCAAGATTCAGATAAATTTAAAAAAGACCCCGCACTAATCTAATGGAAAATGTCTTTCTGCGGATTTAGCTAATTTTTCGATATGTTGTAGTTCTCTTCATTCTGAACATATGTCTCGATAGGCACAACTTGAGCCTATGAACCGTTTCCGTGTTACAAGTCTTAAAAGATCCAGTAATCATGTAAAAATCTGGACCTCTGGATTAATTTTTCCGATTTTTGTACTGCGACAACCTAATTGCTATTTTAGTATTTAACGTTCGCATTCTTTTTATTGTACTAATGATGGTTATGACTTGACCAAAACGTTTACGTGTAATAAATTTTAAATATATGACTTGTGCGAAAAACAACGTTGCGTACGTGGCTGTATGCTCTTTCTTTTATTTATGTTTTAAAATTTTATATTCTTATATATTATTATTATATATTATAATATATTTTAACGGATCTTGCAATTTTATTTGAACTGTAAATTGTAAAAATTCAGACAAATATTATCTAGACCCGCTTTGACCGAATACGATCCTCTTCATTCATTTGTAAAAATGTGCAGGTGGTTCCAGTCTGGTATAAGTCCTTACACTGGCCAAGAAGATTGGATATATCTGGGCGGGTATTGGGATCGTAATTACACCGACGTCGAGGACATCTTTTAATGAAGGCGGAGTTCGTTATCTTCCATTAATCCGACTAACGCTAACCGGAGATCAGTAATTGAGCGTCGTTAGTAAAAAATTACAAATAAATTGCCTAAGAGGACAGGTGCGTAGCTCGATAATAGACGCCATTAGAAATCGATGTCTTTGTGTAAAGTAATTAAAAGCAGATCTTGCGTGCGAGATTCTTCGAGCGCAAAATTGGAACTGGGTACTTCATCCCATGCTCTTCGCTGTGGGAAGAAAGCGAACAGGAGATACAAGCAAATATCATTCGAAAACCAATTTCTGAGAACCAGAATTTATGGTTTTCGTACATTCGATTGTATCATTGATTCGCGCTTCCTGTCTCCGATACTATTTTTATAAGAGGCCATGTTGGATCGGAAAGGCGATTCTTTCATAGTATCCCTGCTTGAAGAAGCCAGTAAGAGACGACAGAAACTGATTTGAAGTTTATATAGGATCCTCCTTCCTAAGTTTGAAACGATATCATAATTCAGGAGCACTCTATGTAACTTCAACACAGACTGTTGTTTCAGTCTAGGTTTCTCGGTTAAACCATCAAATATTTATCCGCACGTTTAACGCTTTTCTATCGATCTGTCAATTCAGCCAAGTTACGTTTCGACGTTAATACGAGAATCGGACTTAGTTCTATCCGAGGAAAAAAATATTCTTGTATATTTATATCAGAAATATACTTAATAGAAATGTAGAAGAAATCTTGTATCTTATCAATTGAGAATCTGAAATTTAGATCGACGAATGGATCATTTTTCACAGTGAAAACAAAATAGTGAATGATATGACTTATTTAAAGATATTTAAAGATAACATATATCTATACCAAAATCTGATACTGTAAACATCAAAACTGTGATTGTGTCGATTTTCTTTTATCTCTATCTATGTATAATTTTATCAAACTCTTTGAGCAGGAACACCGTAGATTTTCATGTAAATATACAGCGATTGTATAATACATTGTACTAAAGTCAGACGGGCCGAACGATTTTGCGCGACAGCTTCAAGCAATAATTATTTATCGTAAAAACTTGGTGCGTTGTTTTCGATTTCCAATCTGGAAAAAAATCACCGAACTTCAGCTATTGCGAGACGCCACGTTGGAAAAAAAAAGCAGGATTTCATGTTTCGCACACACTGAGAAAAATATCTGGTTGAAAATAGACGAATCAGAAGATTCTGATTACATCAATCAGAATTCCGGTTATCTTAATTAGAATTCTAGATTTAAGAAAATTCTGATTCGTTCATTTTTAACCAGAATTCATTCAACTAGACATTTTTCTCAGTGCAACTTTTAGTGCCAAAGATTCTAAGAATTCTAGGTGCGAAGGAAGGAGGTCACACATAAAGATTGAAAACACCGCGAGTCAAAAGGCGCAAAGGATCCAGTATGTGTATATATTTGCGGAATAAACTACGTTGTTGCTTCCAAGTAGATATGTATCTTTTGCGCGATAGATGCTTCTTAGGATAAAGTTTCAGACAAATACTTTGTCTAAGTTGTATGTGCGTTGACACTGCTTAATTTAGAAAGGACGACAATAATTTGAGGTTCTCGAAGAGTGCCGAATGTGTGTTACATCGTGGAAGAACACATCTGAATTCTAAATCATGCTATCAAATAAACCAGAAACGATCTTTCTTATATATAATCGATCGAGAGACATATTTTGAGACAGGCCGAAAACAGAAGGTGGAAAGTAAATTGGGAAGGAAAAGGGACAAAACTTTTTCTTGCTCTTGCAAATTTTATGATTTTTCAATAATAATATTCGTTGAATGATATTTTTGGGATTCGGTATGATTTGGAATTCAGATCCTCGAATTATAAATCCTACCAGTCCGCCGAGCTGATTGCGAACATGCGCTACTCCAGCTCGAGTTCATCGTTTGCAGATGATAGAACTTTCGGTTGAATCACGCAGCCTTCAAGTATACGAACTCATCGCTTCAACCGTGAATGAGTTTACGATATAAGTATATACACACATATATATAGTATATGAATGCACATATCTGAAACACCTATAGGATTTCTATGCTTTCATAAGGGAATGGCGATGCGAATGATTTATACGTCGATATGATCATACTCTGCGGTGATAATCACCCGAATCACCTGTGAGGACTTTATTATTGTTAAAAATCGCGCACGTAGTTTGTAGGAACTCGTTGTGTTTTTGCGTTGCATAGATCACGCCAATGTGTAACTGTACATAGATAATAGTCATATTAGAAATAAATGTTGTTAAAAAAGAGCTCTTACGGCCTCGTATCTACTTCGCAGATTTAAAAGCTCAGCAACCCGATTTTTTCACAAGAATCAATTTTATTAATTGCAGAAGGAAATGAAAATAAGAAAATCAGAAATTTTTTAATCACTAGCTGATGTATCATTATAAATTGTAATTTTTGTACAACATAGAATTGATATTTTAAATTTTAATTATTAAATAATCATTAAATTTATTGACAATATGACTTGTATGTGAAATCTTTGATTTGTATAAAATTTATATTTTTATATTTTTTATATGATAAAAAATAAGATGAATATAAATTTTAGTGTTTATTTTATTTATAGCTACATTTATTAGGCTACTGCTATTATTATTTATCAAATCTCTTTGTGCCAAACCACTGAAATTTTCACGTAGAAATTAATAATTTGCTAATTAAAACAAAAAGGAAATCAAATATTTTAATCGCTAATATTTGTATAATTATCATACATACTTTAAATTTTGTACAATAGAATTAATAATTCTTATTTACATTCCTTCCATATTTTAAATTAAAAAACAAAAGTTTTCGCATACACATAAAATCTTTGATTTACAAAATTTTATGTTTTTACATTTCCAATCTAACAATAATAAGCTTTCAGAAATCAGAAGCTAAAAATTGATCATAGTCGTCAATTTTTAGCTTTTGACTTCTGATTTATGACTTACCTCTTGATTTTTCTCTCTTTATAATTGTTTTATCGACAATTGCATTTCTTGTTTTTTTCTGAAGTTCGATAACTTTGATCTCGGGCGACATAAAACAAAAAACCGGATAAGAAGTAAAAAGACAAGATGTAAAAAATAGTAAGAAGCAAGAAACAGGAAACAGAAAGCACATTGTAGAATAGACTTAAGATATCAATTTTTAGATTCATTTTAATTACCTTTACCATTTTAATTACCATTTACCTTTATTAGGTAATATCAAATTTTTTCGCGCCGAACCACCTCTTAATTTTACCGGACGCCGCCACGCGCCGCCACTGACAGGCACGTTTTCAATATGGCCGCCGGCGCTCAGTCAGTTCACCGTCAGAACAGAACCGATCGATCTTGTCGTGGTATCGAAGAACGTATGTTACTTTTCGCTTCCTGGGGAACCGATTTGTGATTCTGAAATACGCCCATCTTTTTCGTACAGTCGACGAAAATCGTCATCTTCCTCCAACTGCGCGCCGCAAGACCATCGAGATGAGCAACGTACCAACAGGTGAGATCATCTTTGTCACCCACTCATGCTGGATTGAGGAATTATTTGTGATGCTGTTTTATGATCAAAGCGAGACACGTCGTTAATTTTTGTCCGAGAATCAGCTGGCAAAAGTTAGTTTAAGGAGTGCAGTAACCGAAATTCGGCCGATCGAATTCTAACCTGTGATTATGTGCTACCCGCTATCTTGACGTTTCCAGCAACGACCTTGTGAACTCTCATCCGTGTATGCCTCTGTATGCGCGTGTAATGTGTTTACGGATGTGTACGGATGTGTGCGACCGGCGACTCGCCACAAATTCCTGTCGGTATTGTATTTGTATTTTTCTTTGTGCTGCATTCATTAACGTCTCATACTTAAAGCGAAGTTTTTATCGTAAAACGGATAACGAAGCTATTTCGATATAATGGATTTTTTCCCCGAACTTTTTGGTAAAATACAAGCAATTTATTTGCGTTTAATGAACGTTTAAAAAACATCAGTTACGTTTTTATATTTGATACGATATGAGTATAAATGTCTCCATGTAAAAAACGATATTTCAAACTAGTAAAAAGTGTTAAACAGACGTTTTATTAAATGTTTTTTCTAACGTTTATTCAATAGTGTTTTCAAAATATATCAAATAATTTATTTTTAATTTATTTTTCGCTTAAATGGTTAAAATTAATATCTAAGATTTAATTTACACATTGATTATACATATTCTGTTGCTTGGGATGAAACTGATAACCGCTGACAAATAAAATAAAATATCACTTATTGTAATATTGTAATATAATAACATAAAAACTCTGCATGATAATTTTCATGAGATTTTTACAGAAATAGGGAGAAAAAAAATGTGTAGGGAGCAATTGATAGGAATTGTAGATAACTGTAATGCGGGTGCAGCTGCACTGACGAAGGTCAACTCTCTACACACTTCGTTCTTTACTTACTTCGCTGAGAGAATTGAACTCAATCTGTGTTTCTTGATTATATTCTTAATTAAGTTTGTACGAAACCTTATATATTGCAAAAGTAGGTAGTAGTTTTCTAAACTTCAAATGGAATATACATATTATTTGATAATTTTTGAAAGCTGATAGTCTACGAGGAAGGATATTGAGGATGTATCGGGTAAGTTTCTGCAAAAAAAAAAACTCACTGTTTTGAAAATTTATACAGGGTTAATATTAAATTATTCAAAGACTCCAATATTTAACAAATAAATTAAGAAGAAAAAGCCAATGAAAGCACGCACTAGATGGTTTTTTGTGAAAATAATTGTCATATATTTAAAAAATACATAAATAAGATTACAGACGTTTCGTCATAACTTTTTACTGTTGACAACCCTATTTTATTTTATTCAAATGCTTTTATATTATATATTGGTCGATATTATAATGTCGAAATATCTGTAATGTTATTTATATATTTTTTAAATATATGACAATTATTTCCACAAAAACCATCTAGTGCGTGTTCTCATTGGCTTTTTCTTCTTAATTTATTTTATATAGTGTTTCAAAATTTGCGCCCGCGAAATACAAGACGTGATATTTTATGATAAAACAAACAACTTTTTCCTTTAACAAAATTGCGTTCGATAAATAGTTTTTGCCCTTATTTGTCTCCTCAACCTCAACCTGTTTTCCTGCAAAAATTACTAATTAAAGGAAAAAGTTGTTTCTTTTATCATAATATACTTTATCATAATATATTCCGTATGTAAATGAATATTACATACGTATGAAATAGTTCAACAAGATCTATATTTATATTTAGTTACTTAGTTTCATTATTTAAATGAAAATTGTCTTATTTTATCTTAATTATTTAAAAAAATGTCTTTTTATTGAAATAATTTTTAATCTAAATTTTAAACCGCTGCAAAACGTGTTTTGTATTATTTTCAAATACTATGGAAAAATTTGTAATTTTTCTATGTTATCTTCCATTTTGTTAAAAGATACATTTTTAAAGATGAAGATGAATGAATAAAAGTAACAGCGAGAAGTTTATTTAAAGCTTTTCTATCTTAAAATAATAAGAAATTAAGTAAATATACTACACAAAAGTTTAATTGAACGTATTAAAAGAGAGAATTTTCTATTAAATGTTCGACAAATTGATCCTAAAATGTCTAATCAATTTCTCAAGAATCTTCTATTTTTTTTCTATTTCAATTTAATATTTAAATTCAATGCAATTTCAGACTTTTAGCCATTCTTAGCGATAAACATGTCATTAATTGTAAGTTAGTATAGATGAGAATCTGCCGTCGAGACGAATCGATAAACCGGTTTACCGAAGGTTTCCGTGAAGTTCCAAGAACTTTTATTATATATCTTTGCCACGCTTCCGCGCTTTCATCATCGATCGCAAAAACAAGCGGAGCACTTCGCCAAGAAGGTCGATGAACCAATCAGGACACTGAATCGGGCCTAGTTTCAGTCCTTTCTCTCTTTCTCTTTAAGACTATCTTTAGCCTACTTTTTCTATTTTATGCCTGCCGCAGTAACTTAAATAAAACCAACGGAAATGCATACAGCAAAAGGATTAAATCGCGAATGTCAGAAGTATTTCTTCTCGAGACAATTTTAAGACACCCTGTAGAAAACAGATTGGGCACAATCATTAGCAACAATTAGCGGGAATCTCTTAATTAGCGTGTTAAGTTTCAAACAAATCTTGCTCCGTACAGTTGCACACAAATACATTGTAGAGAAACTAAAATCGAACAATCATTACTGTATTATAGCTTAATACAGTACCTGTATTATAACTTAACTTAAAATTAAATGCAAGTAGTGTCAGCAACATCAATGATAATTTAATTGCTATGTTAAGTTGCATCCTCAAAAAAATATTTAACGGTTTCCAAATTAGGACGAAAATATAAAAATAAAAATTTCGAAATATTATTGAAAGTATCAGGGAAAAATTTATAGAATTCTTAAGATAAGGAATTTGACAACTCCCTATTTTTATTGTGAATTTTTAATCCATAGAATCACGTCAAGTTCTATTTCTCGATGAAGAACCAAGGTTGCTTGTCCGTTCCCTCCTTTCCTTTCCTTTTGTTCTCCCTCTCTTGCTGTCCCTTCCTCTCACTCCTTGTTACCTGTAAGGTAGAACGTTTCGATTTCTCTTAAACGTGGAGTTGTGGTGGCGTCTTTACAATCGGCATCATCGTTGTCGTTCTGAGGACACAGCTGTTAGTCGTGTGTGCACTGTGCACACGTTAGTGCACGTGGTCGTGTTCTGTGAACTATCACGCGAATGCATGGATTATATAGTCATTAAATCATGCATCGCGATGTAGATCTGTTGGAAAATCGATCCCGTTGGAAGGAAAATTGATCGCGCAAACTTTTAATTTGCTCCTTTTGAATTCTGCATGATTTGCATGTGATAAATATTTTTGGTTCTTAGTGAAATGTGATTATATGTAATAAAAAAATTCATTGTGATAGATAGCAAATCTCTCAATTTTCGGAACATTTCTCTCTATAATTTTTAATTCTCAATTATATAATTCTCAATTATATAATTTTTACTCTAATTTATATAACTGTCTGTTACTTATTTATCTTTAATTCTGAGTTGTATTGAAATTTCATTGTAATCAATGCCACCAGTATGTGCAATATGCGAATGATTTTGCAGTACAATTTTGAAATAAATTTTTTAAGCGAGATTTTGGAAGAAAACTAGATATTGGGTTGAGTTGCTATTGAATAAAAATTAAAAGAAGCTATGAAGATGATGATATTAAACTTATAGATGCTTCAAATATTAATCGATGTTTCTTTTCTGTTAAAAAATTTTGTCTTCTGGATCTTCTTTCTGGAATTCTCATTATTTTGTAGCAGTTGTTTCTAATTCGTAGATCTCCCTCTGTCTTTCCTCTCTTTAGATCTATTCATTGTTATTTTTATTCTGAAGCATCAGTCGTTGTTCAGACAACAAACCTTCTGACTCATATTCTTCTTAAGTTAAGATTTTGGAGAATTCAAAAGAGCTCCTCTTAAAAAGACCACGAAGCTCAGTAGATATCAGGATCAGAAGATAAATACTCTATTTTGAAGCTTATCTTCTTCAATAAACTTTTGTGAAATATATATTTCTTGAAACAAGATTTCGGCATCAAATTTTGGGATAAGTTTTCGTATCTCTTCGAGGAAAACCATGAAAAATAACATGGAGGACCTTGAACAATCTGTAAATTCAAGAATTATTCAATCGTGCGGGAAAGTCTGTCAGGAACACAACGAAGAAAATTGCCCAAGCGAGAATGAACGCGAGTTTGAATCGCTGGAATACGAGGAAGATGCATATTACTCAAAGCTGACAACGACGCCGAGCTTTGATGACATCGACGAACTGGGCGACGAGGAAGTGGATGAGCTAGTGGTTCACTGCTGGCGCGATTCTAACGGTGAGATAGACGAGATTGTTGTGGACGACGGCAACCTCTCTGTCGAGACGGAGTTTCTGCAGGAAGAGTTACATGACGGCCGCAAGAAAAAGAAGAAGCGAACGATCCGAGTGATCTTCCAAGACTTCTCCAAACCTTACCTCGCTAAGATCAGCAATAGCCAGAACTACAAGAAATTCCTCGAGTTGATAAAAGGTGCTGAGGAAAGAGGAGAGAAATCGCTTCGTTATTTTTATACTCGTAATTTATATTAAAAAAAAACTTGTTGAATTTCTAATGGACTTTGCTGAATTTCTAATAGAAATTAGAGCGATTGTAAAATTCATTATAAATAGTAGAAATTAGAGCGATTGTAAAATTCATTATAAATAGTAGAGGGAATGTTATTTTTTTAAATTAATCAGAAAGGTTATCAAGTTCCAGTCATTTGACAATAATGTTTAAGTCTTAAAAAATTTGGTATCAAGCTGTTAAAAAATTTTCATGAATTTATAAGTGCTTAAATTTGTGCATAGAGATATTTAATTTCTAACATAATAATTATGTACTTTCACGTGAGAAATTTTGCGGTTACGTCTAGCAACTTCTCGTCTATTCATTTCTTCTCGACGTGTGAAAGTATACGAAAAAGAATCATGAAATCGCTATCGAATACAGCGATGTGGAAATATACTTTTAATTTTTCTGGGACAATGTTTCGCTCTGCTGAAACTGCAGAATTCCACGCATTCCTCTGCAATCAGCGAAACAATCGAAATCGTTCGCTAAAGGTTTACTTGCAATCACTTTCTGAGAATAATTGATAAATTACAGTTGATTACATTTCTATTTTTGTGTTGATATTTAATGCAGATAAAAACCGAATAATTAGATAAATTTTTTTTCTATCAATTGTAAACCAGAACTACACTCAGAAAAAAATAGCCTAAATTTTAATAAATATTTATTTGAATACTGCCAACTAAACGTTTACTTAGAATAAATTAATATTTACTTAATAAAAAAAGTGATTGTTAAATCAAATTAATGTTTTTTGTATCAAATAAATATATTTTTATATTTAATAAATATTTAGTTGGTACTATTCAAATAAATATTTATTGAAATTTTTTAGGATATTTTTTCTCGGTGTGGTTAAGATATCTTTTTAATGTTATCTATATATATTTAGTTTTAATTTCAGTTTGTAAAATGAGCCTTATTTTTATTTTTAATTTAACTTTGATAACGTAATATTACTTGTTTTATATACAAAGAATGATTATAATTTAAGTAGAATATATATAAACGTCATCTTTTATATGTAATATAATAATCTGTATTAAATTGCAACCTAGCTTGCGAGAAAAGTAATCCTCCGAGTTAGCGTGACCGTCATGGTACCGTATGCCTCACGATTAATTTCCTTCCTTCCCTTTTGTTCCAGGAGAAGATGCCTCGCTCCACTCGGCCGGGTCTCTGTCGCCATCATCGGATACCATGGCGAACGAGCTTCAAGGACTCTCCTTAGAGGAGCAAGAACAGCAAAAGGCTGAATGGAGCGCTCAATTAGCAAAGGTAGATTTTTGAGACCCAAATCCCGAGGATAGACAATAATGAAAATCAATTTCAGGTTGAAGAAGAAATACAGACTCTGAGACACGTTCTCGCCAATAAGATTAAAGTCTCGCAGGATTTGAAAAGGAAGCTTGGCATTAGTGTCTGGAAGGAGCTCACTGATGATGTTAATCAGGGACTCAAGAACGTTAAGGAAAGTCACGTGTATGTATCCTGCTGTTAATTTGCTTTCTTTGCATGTCTGTTTAGTCTGTGTGTACATGTATTCTATACATACTCTATACATACTCTATATGTACTCTATGCACTCTGCCATATTTTATGTATAAAGGAGAAGTGGATGAATAAATTATAACAGAATCACAGAATATCTTTAAACTTGCGAAATACTTTATTGTATATTAACTAAATAATTAACAATCTTCGAGATATGCGCGAATAGATTTCCAAATCTCTTATTTCTTCGCTAAGGTTTTTTATGTATCCTTTTTATTTCTCGTTTCTTTGTTTTCTTTTCATTTCTACGAAGTGACGCCGGTTATTCTTTTTTTTTTTATTGATATTCCACTTCTATTCTTTAGATACACGTAGAAGCATTGATTTTTTTTTTACTTTTGGTTGGGTTCTCATTCAGTTATCAGAACGTCGGCGAGACATTCGGTCGCTTAACCAGGACAATCTCCGCGAACAGTTTGTAAGTACGCACAAAGTGTCTCATTTTCCTCTTTTCGCGATCCACGTTTTATGACAGTGTGCATTATATTAACATATATATAAATATATA